TGCTTGCGGCCAGCCTTGCCGCCGCTCTCTACGCTGCTTTTTGCCTTAAGGAGTCGGTGAAGCAGCAGAAAGCAGCCAAGCTGTTCACACTCAGTCATTACAAGGCTGTGTACAGGTTATACACGGCCCCAGAACACCTCAGCTCTAGGCGGAAGCTCGCCCTTTACTCCTTGGCTTTCTTTCTCCTTGTCACTGTCCATTTTGGAAGCAAAGACCTCTTTGTTTTGTATGAGCTCGGCTCCCCTCTGTGCTGGACCTCTGTCCTCATTGGGTACGGCTCCGCTGCCAGTTACCTGGCGTACCTGAGCAGCCTGGGAGGGCTGCGGCTGCTGCAGCTCTGCCTCGAAGACACCTGGGTGGCAGAGATAGGCTTGATCTCCAACATTTCTGGACTGGTTGTGATTTCTCTTGCTACTACAACACCACTGATGTTTACAGGTGATGCTGAATTCCTAAATCCCTGCATCTCAGGCTCTTAACTTGGAGGTGCCAGCAGATGCAGAATGGCAGTGTGCTTCGGGGAGTTGGGGCATGTGGAAGAAGTTCTGCTTCTGTTTCAGCCCGTGTGCCAACAAAACTGTGGCGTGCTAACAGCAAAGTTGGCCAAACACTCAAGTTGAAAGTGCAACCATGTAATTCCTGGGATATTAGGTGTCCCAGAAGCTGTATTACACTGCAGACACAGACTAAATCACATTGTGAGATGCAGAAGGGTGAACTGGGTCTAAATATAGCAGGGAGGAAACTGTCTGGACCCACAGATTTCTGGGATTGACTTTGGAGGCTTTGTTTTTCAGCTGAGGTTTCCCTAATGTGCTGTGTCTTGTTCACAGGTTATGGGATTCTCTTCCTTTCCATGGCAGCCACTCCAGTCATCAGAGCCAAGCTCTCCAAGCTGGTCAGCGAGACAGAGCAGGGTAAGGAGTTGGCCACTACGCTTAAGCCAGGTCCTGAAACGCTGTCTTCTTGGAACATTGAAACCAAATGACTTTGAGAGGTTAGGACTTCCCTGGCTTCTTCGCACTCCTGTGTCCCTGCACAGGAGGGACTCTGCTACCCTCAGGCCCAGGGTAGTGCTTTACTTTTTCAGAATAATTGTCACTTTTCAATGATTTAGATTTGCTACCTTTTCAAGATGAGAACAAGAGAAGAAAAACAAGGTGAAAAGTGTTGCGGTCAAGCTCAGGAATAGCTCATTCATCCTACCTGTTCGTTTCTAAAATTTTTACAAGGAGCAAGAGTTAAAATGCATTTTATAACCAGCAGAAAACAGTGATTTCCCTGACCATGACTCTTTGCTGTAGATCAGTAACAGCGGGAAGGAACCCATTGTTGTTAGAGGGTTGTATCATTGACCATGGTGAAAGATCATGGATAACCCACAGGAGGAGCTTATTTGCTTTTCTTCCAGTAATTTGGAGAGAGAGAGGAGGGGGGAATCGGGGTGGGAAAGATCGAAAGGCGACTTTGCACAATTCTTGTTTCTTTTATTAGAACGGAGGTGGCGCACACTTGGTATCAGATTTATGATACTGAATCTACAAAGTGCAGTCTTCTGCTGTACTTAATGTTTAACAAGCGATAAGATGTGCAGTACACAGATCTATATGGCCCTGTCTAAAGCATTTACAATCCAGCTGATGTGTAATATCCCTGGTTAGCTCTGGTGATATGAATGCTGGGGGTCAGTGAGGTGGGTCCTGGCTACAGAGAAGCTGATCTTGCCAGGGTTGGCCTGCCAGGCCTGCACATGGTGCCCGATCCCTGCTCCCAGCTCTTGCTTACCATGCTTGATTATCAGACACCAGTTTTCGGATGGGAAATGCAAACCCTTAGAAAGATTCACAGCATCCCACTGAAGGGGGTGACGTGGTAAAGACGTTTGCAGGTCACCATTAAACTCTTGGGTATCTTTTCCAGGTGCTCTCTTTGCCTCTGTTGCCTGTGTGGAAGGGCTGTGTTCACTTGTGGCCACAGGAGTGTTCAACTCGCTCTACCCTGCCAGCTTGCACTTCATGAGGGGATTCCCATTTCTCTTCGGGGCTATGATTCTTCTCATTCCAGCAGCTATTATCGGGTAATTTACTTCAAATGTTTAAACTTTGCCATAGGACCTGTGAAGTGTAAGATGAAAACTAGTATTTACTCTGCTTAGGGTAGAGGCTCACAGTTTTAAGGTATATTTTCAGTTATGCTTATGGGAGGGTGTTTAGTGCCCCAGTGAGCAGGGGTGCAGGTCTGCTTTTTCTGGCATGTGAATCCTGGTGCTAAGCCTGCAGCCCAAGTCATGTAACTGCTGCCGTTCAAAGTGCTTCAAGGTCTCACTCCACACCCAGAGTGGAATCCAAAATCTGGAGTTGTATTTGAAAGTCCTCCCTTATGGAAGAGATGGAGCTGTTTTAGCAGTCTCTTTTCCTGTTGTTTCTGTACTAGTTAAAGCAAACGTTGTGTTGTGATAGAAAACAAATCTGGTAAGTCCTGGGCAAGAGAACGTGTTGGGCTTTGCAGTAGAAGTGCAGCAGCTCCTGGCAGGGTCATTCTGTTCTGTTCCTTTGAAACTTGAAAACTCCCTTCATTCAGCGATAGCCCAGTGTGTCCTCGTAGGCTCTAACTGTTCTTTCTCTCCTAGGTGGATAGAAACCTGGGAGTCACAGCAGGACTACAGTCACTTCTCAGCCGCTTCCCTGTCCTCTGCAGATGGCTCAGCAGCAACTTAGCCACAAGGAACTGACCACCTGGGCAGTGTCCATCTAAAGAGTCCTCTTTATTCTTCTCTTGAAGGACAGATTAATGTGGGAGGGACACCTTGCTTGTCCTTACTCGTTTTTAAATGCCAAATAGTTGGAGATCGTGGCTCCGACTGCCAGTAGGAACTCGATCTGCAGATGTGAATGCCTCCTCGCCGTTGTGTTGGCTCATCTGTCAGAGAAAACCCAAGAGACCCAAAAGCCAGTCAAGAATAAAAGCTGTTGTTGGCCATTTGCAAGGCTGGTTAGTGGTTTGGGGTTTGTTGGGGAGGGAAGGTTTTGTGGCATGCTTTTAGTGGTGAGAGAGAACTGAATTCTGGTTTAGTTGCCAAACACGTTCCCCTCTGAGCAGTACATTGTGCAGCAGATGAGCTGTTGGTGTGGGTGAGGCTCAGACCAAAGCGAGCAGAGCAAGACTGAAGCAGAGATACCAAACAGGAGAAAGATGTCTCCAAATCAGCATGTTGTCAATAAAAGTGCGAATATAAGAATGCTGCAGGCCAGATTAGGTTCCTGCAGAAATCCTTACGATGGTAGATTACCAGATGGTGCTATTGCCATCCTTCTTGACTAAAGCAGCTTCAGCTTTGCAAGGTAGAGGTGTCCCAGGGAGAGAACCTAATGCATGAAGTGCTCGTTGTGAGGAGTCCCCGTGTCGTGTCTCGCCGTGCTGTCTGCAGCCCAGCCCTGGATTTCGCTTTTGAGCAGTAACAGCTCGTGTGAGAATACTGAGGTGCAAGGAAGTGCCTTAATCAGTTGCCCAGACTGATGAAGTTAAGGCTAAAATTGACAAAAATTGGACCTCCCTAACTGAGGCCCCTTACATTATGAATGTGAGGCCCCAGCTGTGATAAGTGTGCCTCAGCATCATGTGAAATTACTGCTGTGCTTGTGTCAGAGCCAGGAGCAGACCTTGTCAATACACTGTTGGGATGGGCTGGTGTGGGGTCAGGACTGGTGTCTTTGGAGGGACATTTTTTATTGTGTGGGGCATAATTTTGTGTCGGTGACCTTGCTTTGGCTACCTTTCTCGGAATATGCTGATGCCAGCAAGTACCCACATCCATGGTACTCATAATTATTCTTTTCAGAGCATTAACTGTATTGCCTCAATCCTATTTCTTTTAAATTGTCATAAACCAGCAGTTCTGTGTACACTGCATTGCACACACCGTTCAGATGCATGCAATAACGTCCTTGTAACTGCTATATTGCTTAGCAGACGTAACTTTCAGAATGAATAAAACCTCCATTCTCTTTTATGGTTTATAGAAAGAGAGCTTTTCTCGTACAGCTGTTGATGTCATTTGTCCTTGCCTCATTCTGTGCTTCTCTCCAGTATTTTCATGCTTCTTCCTTTATTGAAGACTGCAGATAAGGAAGTTATCTGTCTTGTGGAGAATGAGTGTGTGAGTCCCATGTCAGGAAAAATGCAGATCTGGGACTTGCAAGCAGCCAGAGCTTGTTTTATTCTGAGCCCCAGAGTAAAGCTGGTGGGAGCATTTAGTCTGTAACCTGTCCTTCAATATGCAGCTTTGTTCCCTGATCATTAGGAGTTTGTGATAAAAGCAGAACTGGGGAGTAGAAGAGGAGGTGAAGTAGGGAGGCTTTAAGAACTTGCTCTGTGTAGTTACGCCAGTGGACGTAGGCAGGAGTTATGTACCTGACTGACGGGCTGAGCCCAGAATTATCCTCCCTGAGGAACAGGGCATGCTGTGACTGTTGCATTCCATGTTTGTAGCTGAACTGATTGTGAAGTCTCCTCTACCAGCAGACTCCATGGACACCAATGCTAGCAGCTGCTCAGCGTTGTGCAAGTGAAGTGAAGCTCACGTACTGGCTCTGCTTGCAATGGAGAAATTCAATGGGAACTATTATGGGCTATTAAAAGAATTAAAACAAAGTTTTTCTAGGCTGGCCTCCAAGAACTACAACCGTGAAGTAAATTTGTGATCCATGCACCGTGACTGGGCAGCAGGTAGAGTCCCTGGGGATGCAGTGTGCTACATCAGTGCATGCAACGATGAGCGAGAAGAGAATGGTGCCTTGAGAATGTCGATTCTGCTGACCCTTCAGAGGATGAGAAAGCATGACAGCAAGCGAGAGCAAGTGTGAGAAGGCTGCAGGGAGAGAAGCATGTGACACAAGCAGAAAAGAGGTGGGGATTTAGAGTATAAATCAAATTTATTAACAACATCTGATAGAACAACTTTAAACACTTGCTGACGTGACACAGCAAAGGAATGAGGGAGGGTGAGAACAGGATTCATTTCCTTGAGACTGCTCAGGCTGGAAGGGGCTGGGTGTGGGATGTCTTGTCAAGAGCTGGGCGAGTTCGTTAAGGTGAATATAGCTGAGTGATGGGGAAATGGGAGGAGTCACAGTCTGGGCAGCTGGAGCATGAGATGGGATCTCATTGCAGGTGAGACACCTGAGCTGAAGAGGACAAGTTAAATCTCCTCTATGTTGAATGGTGGGTGAGGAGGTTAATTGCTAGAGAGCTCCTGGGAAACAAGATGCAAGTTTCTTACTGTGTATTATCGTAGGGAGAAAGATCCTGAGGTCTGTTTGTATGGGACTCCTTCAGCGGCCATGGAGGCCTTGACACTCAGTTACTCAAGGCTTTTCCCTGAAACAGCTCACAAGTGGCTTTTATTCTTTGACAGATTCACCTTTGGGCTCATCTGCTGGCTTCCTCTATTTAATCTGGAGATTAGATAGATTCTGTTTCTGATGAATGCTGGGCAGCTACAGCTATTAACCTTTAACTGGAGAGCAAAGATGCCATTAACTGCGAGCTGATAAGAACTATCCATAAAGCTGTGATTAAGCACCAGAATTTAACTTTTAAATTTTTTTTCCCCTTAAATATTTATGGATCTAAACCAAAAAGAAATGTGTTTGTGTTCCTGCCAGTCAAGGCAAGCAGCGAGGCTCTGGGGAGAGCCAGAAGAAGGATGAGGTGGCCGAGGCTCCTCATTTCCTCCTGAAAGGGTTGAGTTATCTCGAGCAGGGACAGACAAAGGAGCTTGCTGCTTCTGCAGGGTGGTGGAGTGGCCTGGTCTGCAGAGCGCCAGGGCAGCACAGACCTGATGAAATGGTAAAGCTGAGACATCAGACGGAGGGACAGGGGTTGTTTTAGAAGCACTTTTTGCAAAGACCCTGCAGAAACTTCCCATGATCTAAACCCAAACTTCAGTCACCAGAGTTAAGAGCACAAAGCGGTTTTGCAGCATTAGGTGAAAAGCCCTTAAGAAGGGAGCGAGCTTGTCTGATAAAGGGACATTACTGGGAAAGAGAAAGCTGCTGCCGAGCAGTTTAGAAGCCTCTGTGCGTTATCTTTCCCAAACACAGGGATTTCCTTAGGGCTTAGCTTTTATTTGCCCTCTCCTGCTCTCGGCTTCTGACTGCAATGATGTTCCTGCAGCTCCCAGCAGAGGCCATACGATGCTTGCAGACCGTTCCCTCTCAGCTGCTCTTCTCTCCCACGTGTCCTCTTGTGAGCACTCCTCACCAATTCCTCAGCTTTTGGTCCCCTTCGGACGTGCTTCTGGGGGCTTGCAGAGGCCTGGACAGCATCGGTCTCCGTTGCACGCCCTGCTACCCCAGGGGAAGGTGTGGAAGACAATGGACATGCTTCTGGGGGAAGCTGCAGCCGTTTGCAGGGACCTGGACAGCATCGGTCTCCCTCACACGTCCTGCTACCCCAGGGGAAGGTGTGGAAGACAACTCGTCCATCCCAGAGTCTACCCTGGCTTGGCTCACCAGGCACTGTGAAAGTGAGTACTGGCCTTTCAGTGCCAGAGGCTTGCATTTGGAAGGTGAAGGAGGGGGTATTGAGCCAAGACGTTGTCTCAAGCCAAGGTACTAAGATGGGGAAACTCTAGAGGGAGAAATTTGGCCCCACAGAAAAAGGGGTGACCTGGGAAGTCTTGGGGGGTCAAGGCAGCTGTGTTGGCTCTATGTCTGCCCCAGGGAGGGCAAGCAGTCCAGGCCGTTCTCCGAACCGGCTGAGGAGTCCCGGGAGGACCGGCCCTGGAGAAAGCGGATGATTTTGTCAATTGTAGCCTCCTGGTACTCGTGGGACCACCTGTGTTTGAGGGGAAAATCTGAGTTAATTTTCCCGTTGTGCAAGATGCTATGAGATAGCTCAGCGCCTTAGGGTCAGGAGCCAGAGTCCCCCATCCTCCACCCCAGCTCACTAGGAGCACCCTTTTTCCCCATGGAAATTCACAGAATCCCAGAACGCTGGGGATTGGAAGGGACCTCAAAAGCTCATCCAGTCCAATCCCCCTGCCGGAGCAGGAACACCCAGATGAGGTTACACAGGAAGGCGTCCAGGCGGGTTTTGAATGTCTGCAGAGAAGGAGACTCCACAACCTCTCTGGGCAGCCTGGGCCAGTGCTCTGTCACCCTCACTGAGAAGAAGTTTCTTCTCCAATTTCAGTGGAACCTCCTGTGTTCCAGTTTGTGTCCGTTAAATTGGAAGAACCCTGGATGCCACAGGAAAGCTCCTTCCCCTGTGCCCTGCCAGGCTGGAGAGCTATGATTTGGGATGCCAAGCCCTGCCTGTGGGGCTGGGGGCACAAGGGTGGGCGTCCTCCCAGCAGCAATGAGGTGGGGAGCTCTGTTATCCATAGGACCCCCAAGCACAGCAGCTCAGGAGGTGAGGTGAGGACCTTTGCTCCCTGCCTGCTCTGAGTCCCTGAAGTGACTCACCTCCCCTTTAGCCCATTCTGCCTCCCTCATTGGTGTCTCCCAGTTTCCTCGTGCTCTTTGCTATTGCTTATGCAACCCGTTCTCTCCAGGTGTCAAGGAACCCCATGGCACCGGTTCCTCTCACTTACTTGATACCGTTGAATTTCAGGACAGCCCTCATGTCTTTGGGAAGTGTTTCTGGGTCCGGCCACTCAAAATGGTCTGTGACAGGTACAATGTTCTTTCCTGAGTTTAAGGCTGTCACAATCTCCTGCAGGAACACAATAGTGCTTGGGCAATGGCCCATGTCAGCCCATCACCAGCCCCTTCCTGCTCCAGCATCCACCAAGCTCCCACCTGAT